TTGCTGTACAGAGGTTAACTCGTGGTTGCTGTTAAGCTGAATACTGCTACCCATGGTGGTGGACAGTGTTTGGTGAAGCTCCAAAACAAGCTTGGAAGCAGGAGTGGTATTCACTTCCTTAATAGCTTGCCTCTGGAAACCCCATGAACCTGGAGAAAGGACAAAAGTTATACAGGAAGTGTCCAGGACTTCATTGATAGGGTTGCTATGAGTCACCTGTGGCACTTAACAACAACAACAACAACAACATCATCTTTAACTTATCATTCATTTTTATAGCTTTGAATTTTGCTCTTCCTTGTCCAGGTTCTCAAACACTATAGATTACTAATTTGAGGCATAACTTTTTTGATCCCTCTAATTATGTGATCTGTCCTATAAAGTTCTGTTTCAGCACTGTCTTATTAATTTTGAAATATATTTTAATTTTAATTCAGTTCATTGTTTTCTCAATAATCAGTGCATATTGTTCTAACATGTTTTTTAAGAATTGAATTAAATGCATACAGTTCTTAAGGTGCTTAATTGGTTACTTATATAAGTGAAACACAGTCTGGAGCACAGTCAACAACAACAGAAAACAGGAACTATGTAATCATGTCACTTATCAGGTTCTAAAAGGGCATTTCACTTCCCCAACACTGGAGAGCAAGGAACACCCATCAGTGGGAGGGTTAGTCATTGATCCAATGTGGCACCTTTGGTACAATATTATTACTATAGAGGGTGCTGATTATTATAACTTAGAGAGGACTCTAGGGTGTGCAGCTTGAGATGAAAGACACAAAGAAGCATTGGGAGACCTCTAACATGAGCCTTCAGGTTGGTTCAGTTATGGGTCTTAGGTAGATGATTTAAACTACAGGAGTCAGGGAGAGAGACCTTGCTCAGGAGGCAGCCAGAGTTGGGGCCAGCAGAACTCACCGGCAAGCATATAGTCTCACGGTGTTTCCCTTTGTCCACTCATCAAGAGAGAATGGGATATGGAGGTGAGAGCCCTTGGGAAGTTGGAGTTCTAGAGAGAAGAAATGTTAAGAGAGTTGCACATATATTTGTTAACGACAGGACCAGGGCAGAAGCTCATTTCTGAATCCCACTCCAGATAAAGCAGGGTAGAAATATTGTGTTTAATGAGCATCCTACATGCCGGAGACTTCATGTGTCACGACCAGGCATACTTACAATTACCGTTAGCACTTTATTTCAGTATATCATCACAATAATCCTTCCCACATTGTGTCAACATAGACTTAAAATAATCTGTCTCATTTTATCTCTGTGCATCCTCATAATAATGTTTCTCATGTCTTCTCAATATATCCTAATAATAAGCCAAGTGGTAGAGTATATTAAGTATCTTGTTGGGGAGATACCAATTGAGGCTTTTTGTTGTGTTATTAGGTGTTATCGAGTCAACTACAGCAATGAGCTTATGAACAACAGATCGAAGCCTTACCCTATCCTAAATCATCACTATCTCAGTCATGCTCAAGGCCATTGTTGTCAGTCTGCCAGTCTATCTCATTGAGGATCTTCTTACACTGCCCTTATCCTCTCCCTTTTTCAAAAAGCAAGTCTTTTGCCAAGGACCCCTCCTGCCAACATGCCCAGAGTTTGTGAAATGAAGTGTCATCAGCCTTGCCTCTAAGGAGCACCCTGGTTGCATTTCCTCCAGGACAAATTTGTCCTGGTAGTCTGTGGGCTAGTCAATGCTCTTTGCCAAGACTGCGATTAAAAGGCATACATTCTTCTTCTGTCGTCCTTATTGTCCAATTTTCAAATATATAGACACAATTGAAAATATCATGTCTTGAATTAGGCACACCTTTGTCTTTAAACTGACATCCTTGTTCTTTGGCATTTTATAGAGGTCCCTGACAACAGATTTTTCCAGTGCTGCACATGTTTTGATTTCTTGACTGCTGTTACTGTGCATGTTGATTGTGTATTCAAGCAAAAGAAAAGTGGTGAGGATTTTACTTGTTTGATCTTCAGATGTGATCCATATTGAAGGTTTTAGTCTTTGATCTTCTGCACTAAGTTCTTCAAGTTGTCTTCATTCACTGCAAGCCATGTTGTCATCTACATAACTCAGGCTGTTTGTGAGCCTAATCCTGATGTGACATTCTTTTTCCATATAGTCAAGTTTTTCTAAAGATTTGCTTAAAAGGCAGATTAAATAGGTATGGAGAAAAAAAAATACAATTCTGATGTACATCTTTACTGACTTTAAACTTTGCAGACTGCCTTTATTCTGTTTGGAAGACGTCTTTGTTTCTGTATAGATTTTGAATGTGTATGGTTAAGTGTTCTGAGATTATTGAGTTTTAGGAGGATTAAATAACTTCATTTACCTCACTAATCTACAAATACTTAATGGCCAACTAACTCATGGATGGAATTCTTCCCCACAGTGGTGGTAAACTTGGTAACTCTAGGTCATCTCCATACTCACAAGGTGCTTAGGTTGTGAGAGAAATGATCAATGAACATATGACAAGATAATCAAGATAACATGTCAGATTGAAGTAGGGCAAGGGCACTACCTTAACCGTAACAGGTTAAAGTAAGGTTAATTGAAACAAGAGATTGCAGCCTTCCTTTCTCCATTTTTTTAAATTCATACCTTAGCAATATTTCCAGATATGTTAGCTCTTGTACATATTTTCTTAAATTCATATACATATTTATTCCCATTAAAAAAAAGATGACCTGACAGAGTGTGGAAATTATCAAACAGTATAACTAATATCACACACTAGCAAAATCCTGCTGAAGATTATCCAGAAATGACTGGGACAGTACATTGACAGAGAACTACCAGAAATACAAGCTAGGTTTAAAAGAGGTCATGGCACTGGAGACATTACTGCCAATGTCAGATGGATCTTGGCAGAAAGCAGAGAATGCCAGAGGAATGTATGTGATTCATTGACTATGCAAAGGCATTTGACGGGGTGGATCACAACAAATTGTGGCTAACCTTGAGGAAAATGGGAATCCCAGAACACTTGATGCTTATACAAAACCTATACTTGGACCGGGAAGCAGTCCTTAGAACAGAGCAAGAAAATACTTCATGGTTCAAAATCAGGAAAGGAGTGTGTCAGGATTGAATCCTGTCCTCATACTTTTTCAATTTGTATGCAGAACAGATCATTTGGGAAGCAGGAGGAATGTGGCATCAAGATTGGAGGAAGACTCATCAACAATGTACAGTATGCAGATGACACAACCTTGCTTGCTGAAACTGAAGAGGACCTGAAGTGCTTGATGCAAAAGGTCAAGGACTGTAGTCTTCAATATGGATTGAAACTCAACATCAAGAAGACAAAGATTCTCACCACTGGACTAATTTGCAGCACCATGATAGACGGAAAAGAGATTGAGGTGGTTAACAATTATTGCTTGCTGAGCTCCACAATCAGCACTCTTAACACCAGCAGTCAGGAAATCAAAAGATGAATTGTGTTGGGAAAATCTGCTCTCAGGGACTTCTCCAGAGTGCTGCAAAGCAACGATGTCAATCTAGAGACAAAGGTGTGCCTTATCTAGGCCATGGTCTTGTCAATTTTTATGCTTCAGAAAGAGGGACAATGACTAAGGATGACAGAGAAGAATAGATGCCTTCGAGTTGGGTGCTGGAGAAAAGTCTTGAACATATCATGGACTGCCAAGAAAACAAGTCTGTTGTGGAAAGCGTGAAAACAAGTCTCTTCTTGGAGGCTAGGATTTTGAAGCTCTGTCTCATATACTTTGGGCATGTGGCCAGGAGGGGACGATCTGTGAAGAAGGACATCATGCTCAGTCGGGTATAGGGACAGAACAAGAGAGGGAGACCCCAGAGGAGATGGACTGATATAGTATCTGGGGCAATAGGGGTTGGTGTATTGGTATTAGTGAGACTGGCTCAGGACAGGGCAGGGTTCAGAGCTACTGGACATAGATAGGGTCTTTATAGGTCTCTGGTGACTCAATGGCATATAAAACAACATGCTCTATTGTTTTTTTAATGTCAGTCTCTTGTTTAGAGTCCACAAGACCTCGAGGAGGGCATTTCAGTTTTAAAGTTGGTTGTTATATTTTGGAGGAACATTCTTCTAAGTGGTACACCACTCTTCTGTCAATATGCTGTACTGAGGTAAGCTGGGGTTGCTGTGATGCTGAACCTTGTGCCATTGGGGTATCAAATGGCATAACCTATTACCCATGGTGAGCAGTGTTTGGTGGAGCTCCCAGTTTAAGACAGATTTGGAAGCAGGAGTGGTATCCGTTTCCTAAGCAACATGCCTCTGGAAACGATGAATTTTGAGAAACGACCATAGTTACAGAAAGGCTTCAGGTCTTCTGTTCATAGCATCGCTATGAGTTGTGCTCGACTTGAAGGCAATCAGTAACAACAACAACAACATACATTATGTTTTATACAATCTTTCATTTACATTGTATTTCATATAATCATTCATATATATTCTATTTTACATTATTCTTTTTTAAATTGCTTTGCTTACAAAGCAGTCCCTTGCCTGGTAAGTAGAAATATGTCAATGGTGGCTTGAGAACTTGCAGACAGACATTCCAAGCCATGGGTGCCAATGAAGATGCAAGGTTGGGGAAGAATCTAATGGATTTGTTCACACTCTCTTTGTGGCTTTGAGCATAAGTGCTCACCCTCCCAGGCTGATAAAACTGTCCATCCAAATTGGTTTGTTGACAAGCAGAAACCTCTGGGTAATGCCCACACACTGCCAGCATTCTGCAGCTTTAGTGTTGGGGTGGCATGTCATTTTCTTCATCATATTCCAACAATAGCGTCACTCCACCTCTCACAATGGACAATTGTCCACAAGTGAGAGGAGGAGAGATGTGGTCAACTTTCTTGCCAAGCACTCAAGCAAGACCTGGATGCCCAGGAATATAAAGGACAGCCACGCAGGAAGCCACTCAGTCTCCCCAAAGCACCTAGTGAGCTGTGGCACTGCGAGCACAGATCCCTGAAGATGCTGACCCTATTCCTGACCATCCTGCTCAGCCTGACGGCCACTCTGCAGGCCCAAGACCCTTGGTTCATTGCCTTGGAGGAGCAGAATGTAAGAGAGGATGGTGGTGGGTACAGAGTACAGGGGAAAGGACGTGAATGGTGCCCAGGGTCAGGGAGCCTGCCATCAGAGCACTGTTTTTGTTTTGTTTGTCTGTTTGTTTTAATGACCTATCTCCTTCTCTCCTTAAGCTCCTGGTAATCACGGATTTACTTGTTGTCTCTATGCACTTGTTATTTTATACATTTTCTGTAAGCAAATTCCTATAGCCCTTGTCCTTTTGTGTTTGGCTCCTTTCACTCAATTCCACATTTCCAAAGTTTATGTGTCTTTCAGCATGGAACAGGACTATATTTTTCCTTTATGACTGAGTAGTAGTAGTCTACTGTGTGGATGAACTACATTTTATGCATTCAGTAACGGACGCTTGTGTTGCTTCCACAATACTGTTAGGAGCTTTAGTGTATGCATTTTTATTTGAGACTGACTTTCAAGTCTTTTAGGGACATGTTAGGGGTGGGATTCCTGGATCATAATGGTAACTCGGTGTTTAAGTTTTAGAAGGAGCTAAGGAGCTGTTAAGATTCTAGGGTAGAGTTAATCCAGGACACTGGGCTCCAAAAGTGGGCATTTGGAGAGATCAGGAAGACTTATCTCTTCATCCACCGACTTGGCCCTCCTTGGAATGGGGAACTTGATTGGTTCACTGACTATTGGACAGGCTCCCTTACATTCCCTCACAAAGGCATTTCAGCATCCTCACAGAGGCTGGATCTTGACCCAGTAGAGAAGTAATTAGTAGGATACAGACTATCTGGCCCTCCTTTTGAAGCTAGCATTGTGTATCAGATTTTTGGTGACTGAGCCTAGAGTGAGCAAGTGTCGAGCTTCAGTAAATGCTAGGGGTCAGGTTATAGCAGCTGGGCCACGTGTGGCTAAGGTGTGGGTTCGGCCTCATGGTGGTGTGGGCCTGTATCTCCACCCCCTTCCTCATTTTCAGGTCACAGGGACCTGGTACATAACAGCTATAGTAATTGACAGTGACCTGCCCTGGGAAAAAGTGCCCAAGAAGGTATCTCCTCTGACGTTGACTGCCCTGACAAATGGGGACCTGGAGACCTCATTCACCTTCATGTGAGTCAGCCCCTCTTGGTTCTCTATGCATCCTCTTCCTCCCTGAGGGAACTTCATCAGTTGCTCCTCTGTTTACTGAAATTTGCATCTTTGCTTGTTGACAAAATAAATAGCCGGGTAACTTGTGGGCAAAGAATCTCCAGAGTCACCTTCAAGCTCAGGAGGTGGTGGTAGTGAAGTTGTGGGGACATCCAAGAAGAGAGACAGCTGGGCCAGGTGAACTGAGAATTGTCTTCTGTTTTCCAGGAAGAATGACCGGTGCTATGAGAAGAGAATCATTTTAGAGAAACAGGGAGAGACTGGCCAATACAGTGCTTGTGAGTCCCATCCTTTCCTAATCAGAGAACATCGTCCAAGACTGGGACAGCATACATCTGCCCCACCACAGTGCCTTTCCCCCATCAAACCCCTAACAAAATGTTGAATTCCCCTTGCTCAGAGTCTTCTGCTCCAGGATACAAAGACCCGCTATCAGACCAAAAGTGTAGCATGTTCTTGGCCAGCAATGAAAAGCTGAGCTCACCTTCTTCTGGTCATGCTAGTTGTTTACCTAGCTGACACAGCTTGGATAGAGGAAAGAGGGAAGCATAGCTCTGCTTGTGCGTTATGTCAGAGGTGCACGTTCTAGCTATCCTGAGCTGATAAGCCTAATTTCCAATCTCTGAAGACCTCTGCCTTGACACTCTTCTTTCTGTACTTGCTGACCACAGTTGTGGGGATAGCAAGACCTCAGACTCTGTCCAGGCTAGGGGCCTGGGGGGACTGGGCATTGAACATTTAGGGTGGCCTAGAATCTGGAACCTTCTAAGCTGTTCTTTAACTATTACCTCTAGGAAATGAAGCGCTAAAGATTTGTTTGCTCTGTGTCTACAGTTGGGGGCAAGAAGCACATAGAAATCCACGAGCTGCCAAAGAAGGACTATTACATCATTTACTGTGAAAGTAATTGCAATGGGAAAACTTGGCGCATGGCAAAACTCGTTGGTGAGTGGCTGCTGAGTCCCAGAGCCCCTGTGGCCTGTGCCTCTCTCTGTGTCCCTGCAAGCTGGCTACTCACTGTCAGGCATGTGCTGGTTCCAGGAAATGTGGCCCTCCACTGGCCTCTGCTTGTCTCAGCGGTTCCAGAACTCCTTGGCTGAGTTCCCAGGCAGGGAAAGACTGTTGGGATCAGGCTCGTGGAGGAGACTCCCACCCTTGCAAGTGCAAAGAATGTTTCTGGACTTCTCTGACTCTGGGACTGAGAACTTGGGCCAAGCATGAGCTCTGCTGCTAGACTCTCAGTGGGGGAAGGACCCTCAGGGTGGGTTTGTTTAGATACTAGTTTGGCACCTGGTGGCAGTACAGTCCTACAGGGAACAAGGCCAGCACTAGGGGCCTGAGAGCTGACTTACAGGGATGGTTTCCTGCTTTGTGACCTTTGCCAGTAGCTCCATTCTCAGGTCTGTTGGACTGACTGTGTGTGCTATCGTATCTCCCAACTGGTTCTGCATTCTGGGCTCCCTTTTGGCATGGACTCTCCCCTCCAGATATTATGTTGCTTCCTAGTGCTGGGAGCTGCCATCTTTGTGGAATTTTTTTCAGGGACTTTCAAATCTGAGTTTCCTTGCTCATCTCATCTGCAGGGAAGAACCCAGACATGAACGTGGAAGCCATGGAAGAATTTCACAATTTTACTCAGCAGAAAGGGTTCTTGCAGAAGAACATCTTCACTCCTGCCCAAACAGGTAAAGGGTGACTCTTCCTGTGGTTTCCCCAAGTTCTCAGGGAGGAAGAGTTAGGAATCTATTAGCTGTATCAGTTCCCCTGGGCTGGGTGTGGTCGTGGGAGGGGGTCTGACTTGGGGGCCCAGTCTGCTTTGTCCAGCCATCTTCTCACTCTTGTGTTATGTTTTTCGCTACAGAGAAATGCATTCCTGAAAGTCAGTAGGGTGAGTGGATTCTTCTGGTGGATATTGGGTAATCAGGAACTATGTGATCTGACCTCCCATTGCCCCATGTAAGAGAACCCTCTACACCTCACCCCCTTCTGGCAGAGGGGTGCTCTGCCCACTCTCTCAACTCAGTCCTTGATCGTTACCTTGGAACATCTGGCCCCTAATGCAATTTCCAAGAACTCCGGATTCTGCCCTTTTCCACCCTGCCATACCCTGTGCCTTTCCTGAGTGTCTGGTCATCTGGGCTATGACAGCAGCTCCCTTTCTCAGCAAGAGTGTCCCTTGGTGTGAGACTCGATTTGCTCCCACTCACCTCTATCTCTCGGAATACATCTCCTGAAAGAGTGTGATCTGCTGCCTTAGGGTCTAAGAGCTGCCCCAACCTAACAACACCAATTGGATGAACTTAAAAATAGACATTTATTGCCTCTCAGTCTGGGGGAGGCTGGAATCTCCATCAGGGTGTCTGTGGATCCTGCCAGAGGCTCTGAGGAAGGAACTGGCCACGCCTATCTCATGGCTTCTGGATTCTTTTGTCAGTCCTTGGTGTTCCTTGAACTGCGGCTGTGTTTTTACATAGCATCTTCTCCCTGTGACTCTGCCTCTCAGGTGTTTCCTTTAATAAACTATCTCTCAGGTAAGATGAGATTTAGCAATGGCCCCTCATAGGCTCTCTTTAACTTACCAAACACAGCTGCAATAAAAGCCCCATTTCCCAAGTAAGGCACAGGGTTTAGGTTTTTAGAATTTCTTGTTCGGGCACCCAGTTCAGTTCATGACAGCAGCCCTGTCACTGAAGGGGTAGGAGCAGAACAATGCAGATCAGTTCTCCCTCTAGGCTTCCATGTGCCCCCGCATCAGCCCAAAGGGGGTCTCTCAGAGTCTGGTATCTGTCCTGTCATCCTCACCCCAAATAATGTCTCCCCCTTTTTTTTCTTGACCTTACAGACAAGCTCCAGTTGGCACCTCCAGAGAGTCCTGCTTTCCTGCCACACCTTGAACTGGAACCTGGTCCTGGATCTCTGTATTTCCCCCATTGGGTTACTCTCTCTTAAATTCAAATAAAGAAATTCAGCAATTGCTTTTGGCTTGGCTTTTTTGTGAAGGGACCTTGGTGCTGGCTCTCTTAGTGATCTTCTAGGAGCCCACCAGGGAGAGGGAAACCATGGATGGGGAGGGGGAGACTGGGTAGGTGTGGGGCCTTGGAGTCAGCTACCTAGGAGGTGCTTCATCCTACAGGCATTCAGGCCCATTGGACGCCTAGAGCCCTTGAGGAAATGTGGACTCCCATCCTGCGCCAGGTGACTTGGTATCAGGCCTCATCTGCAGAGCTGACACAACAGGTAGCTCTGTTCACCTAGGCTGAGACTGTCATGGACAAGTGTGGGAGGCCATAGACGCGGCAGAAAGGGGATGGTGTCAAGAATGTGGATGCGCTGGACCCGCTGCACGTACACTATTATCTGGTGGGATCCCTGCACTCAGCTCCAGCCTGCCTCATTTCAAGTAAGCTTCTCAGCAAGAGTGGCAGAAAGTGGCTGTGACTCCCAGTGAGCCACAGAGTCTGCAACATCTGTAGTCTTCACCACCAGCTGTAACCTTCCTTCCCCAAGCCTAGCCAGCTACTAGATCTATGCTAGACCTGGGGCTTCAGAGACAGAGCTGAGCCAATCCAGTTACAGAGGTGTCCTGAGTCCTCAAGGAGGATAGTAGAGGCCACAGCTTCATGAGTCAATTGAAGGATGCAGTCCTGGACTTGGCTGAGCATGCTCACAGGAACAGAGGACTGGTTTTTCCTCAGCTAGACAATTTACTGTTGAGCAGAATGATTGTGTTTCCCAAGTCTTAGGATCTTTTTCCCCACCTGGCTTTAGTCCTGAGGCAGAGACCCAGGTACAGTTGTGAACTAAAGCAAATCAGATAGATAGCAGGTGTAATCAAGACAGACTCAGGGCTGGGCATTTGAGAGAGAAGTAGTAGTGAGCCGACCCGGATCCTACAGAAAGGTAAGGTAACGATCAGTGTGTCTTCTCTTCACAGCATATACCAAATACATAACAGAAGGTCTAGAGAGGTAAAGTACAACCAGCAAGCAAAGGATTTGTGTCACCTGGTGATCTGATAAGCAGTGGAAAACAATATGGGTTGAAATAGTAACAAAATTAACAACATGAACAATGTAAATGTAGATGGAGAGAGCGCTTCTCTTTCTCCTACTGAGCAGCTGGTAGTTTCGAACTGGGTTCCTTTGTACTGTCAACATCACTAAGCCACTAAAGCTAACACACACACACACACACACACACACACACACACACACACACTTGCACACGCATTTGTCAGTTTGCCATCCTTCAAGTGTACAATTTAGTGTTATGAATTAATCATGTGTAATTATCATGCATCATTGTTGCCATGTTTCCTCAACACTATAAATAAAAAAAAAGCTCTCTGCTTCCTAAACAAATGTTCCCTTCCACTCCCGGGAAACTTTCCCTTCCCAACCCTGGTAACCACTAACAAACTTCAGTCTCTGTAGATTAGTTTATTCTTGTTGTGTTTGTTTTTTTTGGTAAATTACTTATTTCATTCAGCATATTTTCAAGGATCATTCATATTGTACCATGTATGAAAGCTTCATCTCTCTTGCTGGCCATATATCCTGGTCAAGGTACTGCCTCTTGGAAAAGTTCCTTGCCTACTCTTTCAGGAGGACTCCCGGTTTCTAGTTCACTAATATATCAAGTTGGTAGTCCATAAACAGACCAGTGGTTTCTCTTATGTTACCATCTGATTATAGGCCAATCCTTTTGAAGCCCTAGTTGTGGACCAAGGACGAGACACTGGTGCAAAAGAAGAGAATAATTGGAGTTCAGACCACTTACTGGATTAATTTATTTGTGCCCTCTTGGATCTGCTGGGCCTGACCTTGAGTGCAGTTTTTACATCAGACCGTGGGTTATTACTGGGGCACTTACCTTACGCCAATCCAGATTGAGCTGGGCAGCTCCAACTTCACAGACATATAGTGTCCTGAGACCAGTATTTACTGGAACTCAGGAGGAAGATAGATTAATGCTATTTTAAAATAGTTCTATGTATTATTTTAAAAGTCATCTTTTAGTCTTCCCTGAGTCTGGGACAGTATGCCAGCTAAGAAGGCATAGGCGATGGATGCAGAGACTCAAAGGCAGATGTGAGTTTGTCTAGAAGAGATACTAGATAACAGCTGTAATAGCGGCTGAGCTCTGGTGCTGTAGTCTGTAGGAAATTGAGCTGATAACCAAAAGGTGGTGGTGCCTCTCTGGAAGTTTGAATCGCCAGAGATCCCTTAGAAGAAAGATGCAAAATCTCCCTGCTGGAGGGTCAGTATGATTTGGTTCCAACTGACAGCAATGTGTTTTGTTGAAGAAGAAAACTATCAATGATGTAAAATGACACATTGGTTATGATAATGGGCTCAGTCATAGCAGAGATTGTGAAGATGGTGCATAGTTGTATGACATTTTGTTCTGTTATGTTGGAGCCAACTGGGTGTTGTTGTTGATTGCCATTGAGTCGAGGTCAACTCATAGCGACTATATGAACAAAAGACCTACTGTCTTTTCATAACTATCATTATTTCTCCAAGTTCATAGAGTTTCCAGAGACATGTGGTTTAGGAAGTGGATGCTACTTCTGCTTCCCAACTTGTTTTGCAACTGGGAGCTCCACCAAACACAGTCCACAATGGGAAACCATTCTGGTATTTGAAATCCCCATGGCGCAAGGTTCAGCATCATAGCAAACCCACGTTACCTCATACAGCACATTGACAAAGAGTGATGTGTGAAGTGGAAGAATGTTCCTCTAGATTTAACAACATTAGTCTCATTTACCAGTGGTTAAGAGTTGCTGAGTCGAAATGACTCAGAGTAAGTTTGCACAAAAGACCTGAACTTTGTTCTATGATTAACATAATTTCTGTACATTTATAAGAGAGTTTGTAGTTTCCAGAGGCACCTACTTTAGGAAGTAGATGCCATTCCTGCTTCCCAACATGAATGAATCTGGAAGCTCATCCAACCATTGTACATAATGGGTAACCATTATGGTATTTTACACGACTATGGGATAGTGTTCAGCATCACAGTAACTCCAAGCTGTTCAGTATAGCAAATAGACAAATGATAGCTGTATCTTTTAAAGGATATTCATCTAAAAATAATAAACTCAGACCTAGGCCATATAGGATTTTAAAACCACATTAGTGGCTGCCGCCACTTGCCAAAAGGAACCAGAAGATAACATAAGGTGTTTCTGGGCTGATAGTCTAGGCCAGGTCGCCATTATCACCCACTCTAGGCAGTCTTATACATGCCCCCCCTTCAAGTTTTCCTAGTCTCAAGGTCTTTCTACCCTCTGACTTATCACAAAAATGATGAGATAAAAAGATGTTAGGATGAGGCAGGGCATGAGCAGGGATGGACCGGGTGTTGTGTGCTCTGGGTAGATTTCAGAGTGATGAAAATGGTGATGCTGGTGCAGCTTCAGGACGCTTCTTGAAGGCTCACCCAGATTCCATTCTTATGACCCCTCATTATGCTGGCCGAACTGATGTCTGGCCAAGGATGAGCTAATAGGTGGACCTACTCAGTTTGAATACGTTGGAGGGTGGGTTGTCACAGGTGGAGTCCTACATCCCATATTTGTTCCAATCCCTGATCACGTAGGACAATGGATATGATTCAGATCCTTACTTAGAAGTCCCAGCTGAGAAACAAGGCATTAGAGGAGGAATCATCAGTGCAT